TTGCTTTGGCCCTGGTGCAATATGGAGCCAATCTGGAGGTGGCAGCATAAAATGCAAAAACGGAAAAGCCATCAACCCATCCTAGTCGTCCTTCCTCGAAGTCCACATCGCTATCCACCACACCATCCGACGTTGCTGGGAGCTTAGCCGTGGAGAGCCTATATGAAACTTCCCCGCACTTTTCAACATGTGACCCCCTTTTTTGGCTACCTTTCACGTTATTTTCAATGCGCAGTCAACTGACGCCTTCTACTGTACGGACAGTCGACGCCATGAATGAAACAAACGACGCTGAGTGGGTTGAAACGGCGATTTCTGACAAAATAGTTTTCAGTCGTTTTTTGGCATTCAGAAGGCCATTTAGCGGAAATGAACCATAGTTTTATACTCAGTGCTCATGCCCCTATACCATGCAAAAAACCATTTCCAAAAAGCGTCCCACGCCCTGGAAGACCTTCCTTGTAAGAGTTGTTCGACCATCTGGGCTTTAGCTACCGCCTGTTCGAAAGTGCTCGGATTGTCCAATTTCACATAATAACGAATGTCCGGGAGCAACCGGGCTACGAACTCTTCTAGGGTGCGTTCCTTTTGGCTCGAAGAATCCTGGCCCGCTGTCGCAGCGCGAACTAAAAGGAACAAGCGGTTGGCAAAGGTAGAGGTGGATTCGCCAACTTGTTGCTGACAGCTCGCCAACGATTGCCTAGCAAGGTTACGGTGTTGTGGGCCCTCAAAGGATCGTTTAAGGTGAGCCACTAAGGTACCATAATCGTCGCGCTCTTCCTCGGATAAATCTTCAACCTTTTCCCTGGCGATCCCATCCAGGTTACCTATTACGAAATAGGCCTTTTGTTGGGAGGTCCAGGTTGTGGACTTCATCCTCATGACGTCCTCCAAGCGACGGAGCCAGAGAGAGAATTGCATTGGGTCATCCCCCTTTGCAGTGAAAGGGACAACCCTAGGGATAGGGCCTTCCGGGGTGAGCGTAGCTACCATAGGTATAGCACTGATGCGATCACTAACCGCAGCAAAAGAGTGATTAAGGTCAGAAAGTAAAACGGAGTTACCTTCGTTGATCTGCTTGGTCAGCTGTGCGGTGTCGGCCTTGGAATCGTTACGAACTTCTTCCAGCGCAAGGACTGTAGCGTCACGTAAGGACTTGGCGTCCCTACCACGAACACTTGCCTTATCATCTAAATACGACAATGCGTTGGCAAGATTTTCGGAGGCAGAGGCCTTAGGAACTATTCCAGAAAACGAGCCATCTGCCCAAGAGTCCACCGGGGTGGTCTGATAACGGGTCTTTGGAGTACCCATGANTCACAATCGACAAGCAAGAGAGATGATATGGGAGATCAGATCAGAAAGTTCTTGTTTATATATTGCTGACCCCACATGCAGATGTGCTGGGGATGTTATGCGATAGGTATGTTATCTGATGAGAGATCGAAAGTGAGATGGGAATGCGAGCTTCCCAAGAATAACAAATCTCAGCGATATGGTAATATATGGTTGGAATGTAATATCATGAAAACAACATGTGCTAGGGCGCACAGAGTGATAACATGATCATATAGATCACACGTGAGTCATGCGACGAAGAGTATACGACAAAGACCAACTCTCCCACACAAAGGAAAGCCTTGAAAGAAGATGGAAAATGGTAGAATTTTGTGTAGCAAGAAAAGTTCAAAGAATAAAAGTCTTTGAAACATGTAAAGCTATGGGCGTGTGATTGAGCGGCTTCCCAAAGACTAAAAAGCACTCAAAATCGGCCCCATATCGAAGAACGAGTAGTCAAAATGCGGTGGGTGCCGCCCTATTCCAGAATAGTTCCCAAGATGACCACCAGTTGGTCGCCGTAGGGTATTTTAGTAAGGCTCTCTCTGATTCTCAACAGAAATGGAGCCCGACTCACATTCAATTGTTTGCTATTATCAGTGCGTTGCGTTTCTTCAAAGCAACAATATACGGTAACCACACTACAGTATTCTCCGATCATCGCCCTCTCACCTTCTTACTCAAGCATAACAAAACTCACGATAATCTTACAAGATGGGTGGTCGAACTTCAGAGTTATGACGTGACTATTGAGTACCTCAAGGGATCGTCTAATGTGGTGGTCGACGCTCTTTCGCGTGCCGCCAATCCCCAAGTGCGCTTTCAAGACGACACACCTGACGCTGATGACATCGTTGACTTTCCGGTCAGTATCAATTCGGTTTTTACCCCAGCGCCTCCCAAGCAACCTACACTTTGTTGCCTGGGACCGCCTAAGGCAATCCGTCCCTACGACGCTCTTGTAGAACAGAAACGTGACCCATTTTGCTCCGCATTGTTCACGTTCATCAGCTCCCAGCGGTTTCCTGATGACCTCACTGAAGAACAGAAGCGGAACTGGATATCCATAGCAGAACACTGTGTGGTGTGCAAGAACGGCTGTCTCTATCACAGTAACCCATCAAGGCCTTCAACGTCTTTCAAGACTGACCGTTTGGTGGTCCCCGAGAAATTGAAGGAGCCTGTCTTCCTCGCCTTTCACTCTAGCCCCTCGGCGGGAGGCCAATTCAACTGGAAGAAGACTTTGGCCAAAATATCCCGTAAATATTTCTGGCCGCATATGGTTGAGGACATCTTTGCTTTAGTTCGCGCGTGCGACGCGTGCCAACGTAAACGCCCTAACCGGATGAACCAAGAAATATTGCTCCCTGTGACCAGTGGAGCCATTTTCGACAACGTTTATGTTGATTTAACCGGACCACTCCACATCACCGAAGACGGAAATCTATATATATATATATATATATATATATATATTAGCTATGATCGATCATTTTTCCAAGTATGTGATTGCCTGTCCCTTAGACGTCGTCGACGACAACGAGACGTCATCGAGTCTATTGGACGATTTCTTCGGATCAATCGCTACTTTTGTACCCCATATCACCATGAAGGAAATGGCGCATGTGAACGTGTATTCGCCACGTTTCACCCCATGTTGCGGACATACATTTCAGAAAATCAATTGGACTGGGACCAGTACGTTTCGGCTTGCACCTTCATGTATAACACGTCGGTTCATACAAGTATCAATAACACTCCGCTTTTCCTTGTTTTTGGTCGTGATCCTGTTTTTAACATAGATTTATTAATTCAGCATGATTTACAGCGACAAACCCTTTCTTTCGATGAATCGCAACTCTATCTCCAGAACCTTGTTGCCTCTCTACACGCAGCATGGCGAGCTGCGGCTAGGTTCAATGCGACTCGCCGGGAAGGCTATAAACGCCAATACGACCGCACGCACCTCGCGCCCCTCTCCATCAAAGTCGGTGACCTGGTATACCTCCGCAATTTTGCACCCTCGGTGGGTTTATCCCAAAAATTGGCTTTCCCTTGGCTAGGTCAGTTCCGGGTTATCGAAGCCAACCTCCCTCATATAACCATTATTAGCGTGTCATCTCGGTACCGAAAAAGTTCCACATGAACCAAGTCAAACTCTGCAATCTCCTTTCGGGACCTGTTTTCACTACTCCTTGGTTACCCGAAGTAGAGGATTTGGCTCTTTCAGTCGTTGAGGCCACATATCAACCCATAGACGGTTATAACCATACGGTAATTGCGCAACCGACCCTGCATCTAGATTACTCTGTTTCTCATTCTTATTACACTCGTTCTCGATCTCGACGTACTTCTCTTTGACCGGATGGTCTCCCTTTTCGGAACAGTTACAATGTTTACAGTAGGCTCTTGCTCAAGCCGCACTGTGATTGATTTCCCCGAGTCTGATCGGTACATTGATAACACGTTCGCCAATACTTTTCACATGCTTTCCTAACCAATCAACCAACATATCGTTCCTTGCATTCTCACATCATCGTTCACTATTTCGTTTGACTTCTAACTCTTTTCAGGTAAACCCGACAGTATTGTGTTTTCGTTTACGTATGGATAACGACCCGTCGTCGTCGCCTCCTGATCGTGGACCGGATCAAGTATCCAGGTACACTGCTGAGTCTAGCCGAGATACGGCGCCTTTTCGGAATAGTTCCGGTCCTTCCCTCACTGAGAGCGGGGCAGATTCTTCTCAGGTTTCTGTTGGCATGTACTTGGAGATGTCGGTGGAGTCCTCTCCTCACGACCCGGAGCCCATGGACACCACTCCGGTATCTTCTGACATTTCAGGACCGGATCATCAGCAGGACGAAACTCTGTCCGGTGCCGATACGGGGCCGGCTCACAGCGAAACGTCCCACGCTGCTAGCACTCTCGCTCCAACCCAAGAAATTTCGTCCGCTCCTTTGTCACCTTTCAGTGGACGTTCTTCGTCGGCTCACTCATCTTCCGCGTCATCTGTCACCAAACCCGTGGCAGGGCTGACCACCTCAATGGAGCAGCTGGCCGTCACATTGTCCGCGCCATCTGAACACCAGTCGTCCTCGAAGCCGCCTATGAAGTCCGCTCGTTCATCTTCAGGTCATCGCAAACCATCTTCCGAAGCGACGAGCAGCAGCGCGGGTCTCGGTGCTTCTCGTGGGATTCCCCGCGGCACCACTCGCGGCCTTGCTCGCAGCGCTTCTAGGGCATCAACTTCTCGTTCGGCTGCCGCACAGCCAGCAGCTGGTCGTCCTTCTTCTTCTCGGTCCCACCCAGCTCCATCTCGGGCCCGCTCGGCCTCCGTTTCCGGAGCAGTTCAAGCGAGAGGAGGACGCCGTTCGCGTCCTCGTCCGCTCCGTCGGTTCTACCACAGGTTAACACCAGCCAGCTCCCTCGTGAGACACCCGAGGGTTACACTAATTACCTGGATGCTCATCATCCATGGGCGAAGTATATCAACCCTCGCCCCGTTCACATGTTCAGAGAAGCTGTACCGCGTGTGATTTTCACCCTTGATACAAGTATCTACCGTCACCTGCCAGACTCCGGATATTTATCCACTAGATTCAACAAGTTCCTAGTTCCACAGGTCACTCTACGTCCAGAGCGTCCTCCGTTGGATATTCCATTCATCGAGTTACAACACCTCGAAGACACCATTGCTTTTCGGAAACGCTCCCGCCAAGTGATTGACAGCCTCCTAGCAGGTACGTACGTGGATCCCGACGTATCGAACCTACCTAGGACGTCATCCATCGCCAATCCGCATACTCTCATACCCCCAACGTGGGAAGGTCTTCGTCCGGTCCTTTACCAGGTCGTGTCCACCGGGTGGGGTTCTGGGGTCATACTAGAGGCCAAAGATTTCTTTACGATCGGGCCGTACCGTCGCGAACTTCACTGTATACTATTGGATTTCCTTGCCGTTGACGTTCTCGCAGGTGGTCGCGGTTTTGCCAAACNCGCGAACTTCACTGTATACTATTGGATTTCCTTGCCGTTGACGTTCTCGCAGGTGGTCGCGGTTTTGCCAAACGCTTGGTCTCTATCAAAGATTCTGTTTGGGTATATGACGTGAAGCCTACACTGCGCGCATTGGGCTCCCCTCAGACATTTCTGGAGCGCGCCTCACGGCCCCGTACAGCTGTTATGGATCCCAACTGTGATCTTTTCTTTCGTGTGGCTCATTTTGCGTTGGTTACCCCGTCTCACCGTTCTGAACCTATTTTTGGTATCATTCCTACACGTCAAACCCGCAACGGAGTGGTAACGTCTGCTCGTTCCGCGTTCGAGGGTTGTCCCGAAGCCGTTACCATTACCTCAAGCGTCTGCTCATTCATACGCAACGTCGTCCCATTCCAGATTGTTTCCGCATCCTCCAGGGAAAATGTGTCGACTGCTATGCGTTTCTCAGAGCCTCCTGTCTCGATGGAAGCCCGCGCGTTTCTCGCGGACAAGGTTCGACAATTCCTTCCAATGCATCCCGAGGAAGGTATTCTACCCATGTCTGTTTCACGGATCTCCCCTTCTGACCGCGCGTGGC